ATCAATAGAGAGGCTCTACCAATCCTCGTTTATCTTTTATACCGGTCCTCAAACCCATTACACACAGACAAAGCTTGGTCCAAAGGCACCGGAATGGCTTCGAAAGTCGCACGGCAAGAGTAAACCTTAAGGAGGGTATGGACGAGGAAACGAGCGGGAAGGGAAAGAAGCGATACAGGAAGGCATTTCAGAGCTTTGCGAGAGAATTCGGACGGGGTGTACGACAGCAAAGAACAAGAGGGAAGACCAAACAAAGAGCTGGTACACTTCCACTTGCTCTGAGTATGTTCAGAAGGAATGCGTCGGCACATGGAGAGGTCGATCTGCTGAAAGAGGTTCAAGGGAGTGAAGGACAAACTACAGTTCAAGACGCAGCCGAAGAATATGAGATTATCTATTCAAAAGGCGACCTAGTTGCTGTCAAGCACAATTACAAGAGGTATATCATTCCTTTCTTCCTTGCAGTTCTTTTAAAAGATCTTTACCATAACGGTGACGCATTCCTGGAAGATCACATGGGTTTGAGATAGCTGGAACAGTCAGAAGAAGATCCCGTTGTATACCAGATTGGGCACGGTGACGATAGAAATTCACCTGAGTGTATCATCAGAAAGTTCAAATAATAAAAGACGGAAACAACTTCTGTTTGAGCTGCCTTCAAGAGCAACGCCCATTTGCATTGGTCCAGGGGTCAGTTGAATCAGATGATTCACATGCGTCAGGTGGTGACGAAGAGGAAGGGGAGTAAGCTCAGGTGCGCACCTTTTCAGAGCCAATTAGATTCGAAGCTGGAAGGAGTAGGTCTGGAAGACCTACAACCAGATGTGTCCTCTGACAATCTACAATGGTTATTAAGCCAGGAAAAGCCGGCATTAATGGGCTTGACACAGAAAAGCTGTTTTAAAAACTGTAGAACCTGTGGCTTGCATCATTTAATTTTTCTACTTCATGTAAAGCGGGTATTTTGCTATTGGTAATTGATCGTGATCCTCAATGTAACACACACAGAGTGAAAGAGGAAATTCACATAAGACTACACTCTCAACATCAACAGGGATAGCAGAATAGAATGTCCAGAAGTTTGGTTGCCCTTAATCAAGAAACAAAGCAATAGGAGATTCGTACGACAGCTCACCAGTGAGGCAAAAGCTCATACAAACAACGGAGTAAGAAATGCACCAATCTCAGCGGCTAATAATCGACCAACCAGAACCAGAGCTTGGAGTCATATAAGTTCACGTGTGACCAGTTGACGAAGACTAGCAAGGCAAGGTCTTTAAGTACGCAGTTGAAACGTCGCGATCTACATCATCAAGTGAGTGAATCGTGAGACAAACGATTACACTTTATTAACATCAATATTGTAGACCAGTAACACGGCCGGCGTTCGTACGGGACAGGAATTGGAAAGCTAGAGGAAGACCTTAGTTCAGAAGTACCTTACAGGGACGTTAATTTAACTGGGGACCAACCAGCGCTAGCTGTGTTTGCTGTTTGACTAAAAGTGTATTTATTGGAATTTTGAATCTAATGCTTTCTTGTGGGCTTATAAACCTCCGGGTGGCCTTGCTCCTATGAGCAACACTGAAATTAAACCTTGTAAATACTCTTGATGAACGGTACATCTGAAAAAATCAAGTTTCCGCCGCAAGATCTTTCAAGATGTACGATACTTGAATTGAAGTGGACTACTTTTGATGTATAAATTAACAATAACTTATACATTCTGTATCTTACTAAAGTTCCCGTTCAAGAAAATCAGGTTTTATCATTTGCATAGTATCGCCAAACATTATATTTAAAGTCTTTTAAATAGAGTAATGCACAAAAAGGGGTTGACTCATATTGATCTTTAAAGCTCTGATAGAACCTATACAACTTGCACTAAAAATCAAAGTTTATGTTTTTCTCATCAGCCCATTTGAACATGTTCTATATTCTATATTTGGAGATACAAAAAGTTGTCCAAGTTAAAATTTTGTGTAAAACATGGATGGGATCAATTTTTTATCAGGGCTCAGAGATCAAAATTTTGGGGAAAAAGGGGCTCAGGGATCAAAATAACGGCAAGAAAATCGGGATCAGTGGGTCCCGGATATACCATGTTACGACCCTGCGATATACGTGCGTTTTTGTGCCACGTATACTTGCGTTCTTTCCTGCTTTGTGGGGTTTTTATTCCCAAGTATATGACCATTTTCTTACAAACGCGCATATATATGCGCACAAAAAAGCCCATTTACAGTATATGCGTTACAAACAAGCATGTGTATATGGGGTCGCAGAAAGTAGTCGTATAAGAGGCACCAAATTATACCGTCAGCAAAAAACTCCTTCATGTACGATGAGCTGCAAAGTAACTTCAGTTGGCCGCAATGGCCGCGTTAATTTCGAGCAAGTTTTGGTTCGTATTCCGCATTGCCTTCGCAGTAATGGTGGTTGTTGGCTCCCCGACAACGAATTTGTTGGAATCCGTGGATTGTCTCTTGAGAGACTGTGG